GAGTGTGAATAAGTAGTCAAGATGACGACAGACATGAAAACGGACGGATTGAAAGTTAATTTCAAAATAAGTGCAAGACAGAGAACAACAAAAACCGAGCACAGTCGGTGGAAAATAACATAATAAGAAGATTCATGCATCAGGAAAACTAAAATATTCGAGTATTTTGTCGAAAACGGGGTACAACCTTAGACATGAATTCCGGTTGAAAGAGTGTGAGCTATTGTCAAGATGGTGACAGACGAGAGAACATACGGATTCAAAGTCTGTTTGAAAAAAAATGCGTGGCAGAGAAAATAAAAAAACGACATAGTCGGTAAACAATAACATAATAAGATTCATGCCCCATGAAAACAAAAAATATTCAAATATTTTGTCGAAAATGGGGTACAGACTGAATATAACATGTACGGAAACATTACTGCCGTCTTAAACTAACTTTTAATTTTATTCAATTAATTAGTGACATCGCATGGAAGTAAATATGACGTCATTGTTTACTTGCTCATCATAATATTCCAGCTCTGCCTAAGTTTGGCATTGGTGTTACTATACTACTATACTGTCTATGGTTAAACAGGGCCCAAATTGATAGGGAGTAAAACACGGAAGTGGAAGAGCTGTCCATGCATTGACCAATCACACAAGAGCTCACAAACACCAACGAAATATTTGTTGTTGTACTTAATAAAGGGGTTTGGCACTAAAAACAATGGAACGTTTACAGGCTTAACGTTGGATTTAGATCGTGTTATAATCCAAATCCCCTACTAAGACTTGTAAGCACCAATTTTCATATGTAATGAAGTGGGGGGGTTACTAAAAGCTCATGTTCTGAAGAGATCGAGTAGAATTATATCTACATTGTATATGAAATGATGTTGATTCACAGAGTGCTACACACTTTACTCAAAACCACTACTTACCTCTATGATTGATAAAGAAAATTTATTATATTTATTTATTTATTTATTTATTTATTTATTTATTTATTTATTTATTTATTTATTTATTTATTTATTTATTTATTTATTTATTTATTTATTTATTTATTTATTTATTTATTTATTTATTTTATACGAGTCATCTTTCAACTCAAAAAACGGTATTTCATACGACAATCAAACCTTGTATTTTATCAGTTTTATACATCGTTGTTAATGATACCAGTAAAAAACATGCAAATACTGATACTCGCACAGCGAATTAGATTATATGTGTCGCGTTTATACAGTATCTATTGTTCATCTCAGATCGTTAATGAGTCTAAGGTACAATGGGTCATCGGATGATGGGGTAACGTTGTATTGAGAGGCTCACTGATAGAGCCGCCATTGTTTCAGTTTATTTTACACGAGACGTCAACATTTCGGACGGGTTCATTTTCAATAATATTTGGGCTGCCACTAAATATATGGCGTTTGCTTGTAACTAATCGCAGATAAAAGTGTGACAGTAATGATATAGGATATACTTATGCAAAATAACTTTATTGCCAAAGAAATTCGGACGCCAGAGATTTTATGGATTACAGTTTTAAGATCAAAGTTAATAGAAGCATTTAAATCTTACGTAAGCATAATATAATTATTTACATAACTAAATAACTGTAATTAGTGATTGTGTAAGTGTATGCCGGTATTATCACGACACAAATCTGCCATCACGCGATGACGTGTAATGGTTGTTAGTTTACTCGACCTCAATGTAAGCGTTGCCTCATCCAAGGCGGCGAAGTTTCTATTATACTTTCAAATAATATATGGAGTTATCATTACTATATAAGAGTAACACACTAACTTTCCCGGTAAAGGACACATAACAACTTGCGGCCCAACATCAACAAAAATAAAAATGTGTTAACTTGTCACGATTCACAGTATGCCGCGATTCAAACACGCCTGTAAATGTTGAAACGAGTAAACAATATGCAACGTCGGCCATTGTTTTACATATCCCTGAAAAGGAAAATGTTTTTCATAAAAATAATAGGTTTTCATACCTGTAAAACAGAGAACCCACAGTAAAGCTAGGCCCTTCATTTTGACGAGACAGAGGAGTTGCAACTTTCCCAATTGCCTGTATAAGATGCTGTGAAGAATTCCGAGACGAGGTCTGGTTAACTGAACAAAATATCATCAGTCCCGGTCTAACGAAGCCAGGTACAATGTGGCACTGATTTATTTTACAACATTCGTAAAGTGGGATGGACTTTGTGAAACCATGGCAACAAGGATGACAGATATAGGAAAGATACATTAAATTGTTTTGGAACATACCATTACGTGCAGACTCGTTAAAAGTACAGCACTTGTATTTTTCAGTGCAGCTTTAGTGCTGTTAGAAAATAACTGTTTATTGCTAAACAATACAAAGCTGATGTAAATAACCTTCTAGTAGATTCTGATGAATTAATAACCAAAGTATGTCAAGCCATCTCGTGTAACATCATTACATACACTCACCCCTCACACCAATCGAATACCAAAGCCTAGATAATAATTATCAGTTGCACAATGTACAGGTCGCGATAACACAGACACAGATACCAGGGCAGCTAAATCGTCCACTGTTTTGTGACAACATGAATATCATTAGAAACACTAATTTAAAAATAGCCGAATATACAATAATACATGCACAAAAACACAATTTTTCAATAAAATGTCTACATATATTATATAACCTACACAGACCCCGGGTAATGTACGTATGTGGTGTTCGTTTGACTCTTATTATCTGAAATAATAACTCTGCTTGTCTATGATGTTGTTCTATATTGTATACAGTGACAGCATTGTATGTGTGTTGTGTATGTCTCCGTATTCGACTTATATGACGTTAGTATTGTGTGTGTATTGTAAACAACCAGTATAAGGCCCAGTTGGTTCTATTTTGATTTTCCCGTACTCAAATGTGCGCTAACAAATAATTATACGCATGCTCAAATCAGGCGTCCGTAATTCTTTCATGATGAAATCGAGATCGTAGGCTACAATGAATATGCAAAACGCTGGAACACGAATGAAGATTTAATACATACATGTCTGACAAAGGTTAGCAATGGAGACAATGTATCACTAGTAAGTGCAGAAGGCTTTGATAACTATCAAGTTTTATTCGAACACGCCAAATTTTGAAAATATCTCATAACGAATCATAAGAACGTGGTGTTTCAAGTCTCGGGTAAATTAAATTCGCAAATGAAGGTTTCTTTTATGTTAGCCCTAACCCTAACTATTGTGGTTTGAGGTCAGCTGGGTAAGCGCCAGGTTGTTCACAGAGACATCGCCGGAAGATCCATGGTTCAATTTCAGTGTTTTAAATTGGGTCACCTTGTCAACACGTTAAAGCGTGTATATGTTTATGTTCATTAAACTTGTACTAGAGACAGATTTTGGAGAAAAGAAATTCCACTGAATCATGATTTAAAAAAAATATTTAATTAAAACTAACACCTAAAATAAATTTTAAACTTGGGAGATTATGAGCAATATAAATGAACTAATGCGATTTTGCACTTTTCAATATGCTTTTGATCGTAGTACATTGTAAATAATTGAAACACAAAACACGACGATTAACACTTTCAAATTCGCGCATACCATTATATAATTTTTAATTCCATAAAAGCTGCTTGTTCATTTAAAAATAAAATCATTCAGAGCTTCCTCCCATTCCCAGAGTACAGGTATGTGTCTTCGGACATTCAAGTATAAGGCATATTGCAAAGTCTAGTGTTATTTATATGTAATTCACATCATATAGTTTTGCGAAAGATATGGGATAACTATTTTTTATTCCGATTGAACACACAGAATCAGTTTCTTTTTCTGTAAAGCGCCCTCTTGGGGTGACGTATATAAATTATATAAAACACATAAAATATGGTGGTATCAAAAAAGACAAAACTAAAAAAATATCCCATATAAACCAAACACGTTTTAATACAGGTATTATCTGTGTCGAATAAGTACAGTAAGCAGCTTTACAGTCGAGCCAGGATGGTGTGTACGCCGGAGTGAAGACCGTGCAAGCAGGGCTTAAACTAACCAAACATTATCACGTGGTTTACGATAATACAGTTGAATAGATGACACATCATATCGGAATTATCTATTTAGTGGGAGGTTGTTATCTATTCGTAACAATTGGCACCGAATCTGAAATGATAAAACGGTGACCTTGGTCCCTGTTTACACAGCTTAACATGATCACTGCGCCTGTCTCACCATTGTTTTTTTTTCCTATCCGTCAATGAGACCGTATAATTATCTATGTGATCAGTAAAACATATGACATTTCAAAAGTTTACGTAAGTTATCTCACATAAACGGCAAAATTTTGATATAACAAAAAATGAGAAATGTTCTTTTGTAATGTTTGCTTAAAATGCAATTAACATGAAAATGCTCTATTCAAATTATATTCTATAACAAATTGTTCACGATAAATACTGGGTCACTTTGCATTTCAGTCTCATCAGGCTGCTTACATCGGACATATTAGGTGAAATGACGTGTTGACATTATCCAATATCTTCGTGTTTTAATCACATTTATAAATCATCACAAACTGTTAAGAGAGTTAATTAGTAACAGCAACAGTCTGCACAAAGCAGATGCGCAGATCAATGTCCGTGTGTGCTAATTACGCCCTAGGTGTTTATAGTAACTATTATTTTTAATGTCACCGTACCTTAACGTTGGCGGTCATCACTTAAAAGTATTTTACCAGTAGGTCTGCAGGTATACTTGCGAGATAAGGCGTTCCATTGCCTAAAACATGGATGGAATACGTGTGTTAACTGTGTTACTCTGCTTCTGTGCAGGTTAGTGCTTCTTGTGATATTTACCAGCAGGTGACTGTAAACATTGAACATCATGTCTGACCTCGTTAACACTTGGGTCCGTGGTCAGTCTATGTAATAGCTGCATTTCCTGTGAAATAAAAAGAAAACACTGTTGAGTTGTATTTACGCTTTAGAAATTGAACAGTTCCCAACGACTGCCTGTACATTACAAATTGGGGCATTGATACTTCCGGCGAATGGATTGGATTATGGGGTGACACGTCAGGGTGTATCGGACCCAGATACGGCTGCATATTGTGCAAATGTTATGTTATGTTATTACTTTGTGTTCATAGCTAGAATTAGGATGTTGCTATAGTAATAATTTTGTTTTAGAATACTAGACGTCGTTCTAACTATTTATATTCAGAGATGAAATTGACATTGCGTGCCTGCCATCGAATCCATGATTAAATAATACTATTGATGTTCAACACGCTTGCGCACATTGTTTTTAACACAAGTCCAAAATTATCACATGCGTAATAACTCTGCAAATTTTACATCGATTCTAGAGAATTAAAAAATAATTGTATTTGCAAATGTCCAAACTTAAAAATAAACTTGCGACTGTTTCACATGACATGCCTATGTACTAATCAAACCTAGATTCAAATAAACAAAATTAATAAACGCGTTTCTTTCCTTTAGCTTCCCTTTTCAAAATGATTCTTTGATTGCTAATGTAACGGATGATCGGCCACCTTGCCGGTTAAGAGACATGATTGAGCGTTCTGAATTTTGCAGGAAAAAGGGGGTATTTATTTTCAAACTTCATGTTAAAAAAACGAAAACTTTACTTTTCAAAATACAAAAAATGGTTCATTTCAACCTGAAAAGATAAAAGTCTTTATTTATTCCTGGTGAATTGAAACGATTATCGATGAACTGGGTGCCCCCCCCCCCCGCGCGAATGCACCCAATACCCTAAAAGGGCGTGTTTTAACTCAGATCTCCTCCCGAGAAAAATGCAAATCTATAAGTCAACTGAAAATGGTCTCTTTGATTTTGCGGAGCATGTACATGCACTACACAACCGTATATTTTTTTCAGTGATAAACAAATATGGCAGACCCAATCTGATTAAAATCTGATGTAGTGTACGGGCTTTAATTATTTTGGCTATAAACTTATTTTAATATTATTTTTTATTATATTTGTTATTAATGCCTTTTATTTTATTATTTTACTTTGATTTTGAGATTGTTTTTTAATAGCGCCCTACCTGATCCGACGCCTATGCAAGTCCCGTTCAAATCTCGCGTAAGTAACAGCCAATCACAGCCCCCCTTTTATACAGGCTGTCGGGTCCTTACTTTTCAGTGTATACGGGCAATCTTTCTGTACATTATATTTTGCCCACTTGAATAAACCATTAATAGAAAATTGCTAGTATATTTTTATTTGCAAAAAAAATTCCACAGCATTTTACAAATTTTGTCTTTACATTGAATATTTTTTTCACTTCCAACAACACTTCCAGATACATCTTCGCCAGCCAAAGTTCGTTCATTCAGTCATGGCTTCAATTTTACATCACTGATCATAATTTTCTAGAATGGAAGCAAAAAAATAAGTAAATCGTAATGATTAGAACACTGTAAACAGTTATAGTAAACAATGCAAACTGATTTTAAATTGTATAACGGTCACCGGCCCACGGCATCGACGCAGAAAATTGGAGCAAACAAATATTTCCTGATCAATTGCGATGTGTTCCAAATAAAAAATATTTTATTCCAGTCCAAATCAGCTCAATTACTTTAATAAAGAGTTATTATATAATGTACAAAATGATGATACAATTTGATGAATATTTACAGCTTCAATATCGTAGACGATTTTGACCCGATCGTCAACAAAACATCACCCGTCTCCAGGGCAGGCGACTCCAGTCGGACTGGAAAAAGACACTGGTGTTCGGTCGAACCGGTGGAAACAAAATCGTCACTCCCAGAATAACTATGCGAAATAACGATCTAAAGTCGAACCATTCGAGCCACAATATTAACATACAAATGACTTTCGTTGCATTTGACAATGATAAACTTACCGAAAAGCCGTGTTATTCACGGTCGCTAACGTCGGTATAATCCGCCATTTTATTTGAGTGTGTTTGCCACCTGACTCTGCCCGGTGACGTCATCATGTGCGCTATAGAAGGAGGTCTGAGACTCGTTGACTAAAATC